TGCTTGATATCCTTCTTCAATCTTTCATCTTTAATTTGTTTTAGCCTCAAACTTCTTCAATTTTATCTCAATTTATTCTTACAAATAAAATACACTATTTAGCACAATTCATAAAAATATATGCTAAAAAAGACGAATATAAATAATAAATATGAGGCAAATAATAATTAAAATATATATTTTTGACCTCATATCACCACCCCACACTTAAACTTTTGCTCGTCCTCGGTAAAACATTAAAGTTCATCTCAAATAAATCATACTAGGAATGTCATCAATAGGTCATATACCAATTTCAAAACATAAAGTACAATTCTCAATCTTTATGCAAGACATTCAAATAAACAACAAACATCTAACCTCCTAACCTTAAGGAAAGACTTTAAATTATCACATTTAAACTTGCTCACCTATTCTCATCAAAGAAATCTAAAAAAAAATCAGCTATCCATCGTGAAAAAAGTGCCCTCACAAGAAGAAATAGTTCACGCACTGAAATCAAAAGATTCAATATAAATTAAGGATTTAACATCAAAGGACAATTCTCATACTCACAAATAAAATTCATATGTATGCATAAAGAACCAATGATTTGCCCATCATGTACATCTCCACTAATTTAAGCATGCTTGAATAGCATCAAATAGGACTTTAACGGGTTGTAATGTAGGCTGGGGATGGGTCGAAAAATTATATAATAGTGACTTACACTTTCTTAAGCACTTTGCAACTTTGTACTTCATCAACCATTATTTTTGTATCTTTATTTTTAGCTCTCTCTTTAACAATTATTTCACAAGTCATTCTCATCATCTCAAGTTTCTTTTTTTGTTTTAAGTTTCCTTCGTAATAGCCACCCCAACTTACGTATTTTTCATGTGTTAAGGTGCAGAATGTCCTTGGAAGGACCAGGGTCATCATCAAGGTAACTTTTTTTTTTAACATCACATTCTTTCCAAGAAGGCTTTTATACAATTTGCAGCTATCATTGATTAACTTTTCACTCAACCATCCCTTTTTCTCATCATTGATAATTAGAATAAATCTATGCTATATTGCTCAAGGAAGTAAGGTACAAAAAGTAGGGATTCAACAAATAGTCAAAGGCAAAATGTGTCTATCTTTTTCGTGAAGTTTTTCCCATAATACTTGAGATTTGATGTTAACTTAGTTATTTGTATATAAAAATATTGTATTGATGTATCCGACTATATTTTTATTGCATAATCAAATTGGATAATTACTTATATATCTAGATATACTTGTATTCACAAATTACTATTTGTATTAATATACATATTTGAAAAAAGATGTATATAAATACAATTATCTATGTATATAAGTATCATTAAATATACATATATGACAAAAAATAAAATTCTCTCTCTACACTCTCCGCTAACAAGATAACCTAACGGCTCCGCTGAACTGCGGATATTTCCCATGCTCCATCTCATAGACTTTCGGGGATCTCTCATCGAAGCGCCGTGACAAAAAAATGGCTCCAGCAACAAAGATGACACTCTTCGCAAGGAGATATGCAATTTTGCCATGGAAAGAAAAGTATAAAAACAATATAATTTTCATGAAAAAGCAATTTCAATTAAAACCACATAAAAGTATATGAAAATAGATGTATATAAATATTTTCATAAAAACGAGGATAGAATCTGTTAAAGATACCTTATAATGATCTGAAACCACGAAAATCGCTCCTAGAATCATATAAAAGGATCTTCAATTGGAAGGAATTGGGGAAAAAATACAAAAAATATGTAATATAGAGATATTGATGAAAGAAGGTATTGATGAGGACATAACTAATTTGAATGTTATAATAACTTTCCTATTTATTGTTTAGGGAAAATGCGCTAGTACCCCCTCAACCTATGCCCGAAATCCTAGAGACACACTTATACTATACTAAGGTGCTATTACCCCGCCTGAACTTATTTTATAAGTAATTTTCTACCCTTTTAGGCCTACGTGACACTAGTTTGAAAGAAAAAGTCAACCAATAACAAGATAGTGTCACGTAAGTCGAAAAGGGGTAGAAAATTATTAATAAAATAAGTTCAGAGGGTTAATAAAACCTTAGTATACTATAAGTGTGTCTTTGAGATTTTGGACATATATTTAGGAGGTACTTGTGTATTATCCCTATTATTTATTAATATTCAATATATAAAAAAAGTTGATTATTGATATGTAATTAACTTTGCTATTTATTGTATAATTATAGCCATATAACATAAAAAAATTAAACTATAACTAGTTTATTTAAATGTATATTGAAGTTTGTCATATACAATACTTTTTCCATTTCGACATTTTAGCATAATATTTTGGCGGTTTCAGATCCGAGTTTGATGGGGCCCAATTTGGTACAAGTAGAGGAGTAAAAGTCATTATAATTTCCTACTTATCAGAGATTTTAAATTGAGAAATTTATAAAAAGAGAAGAAGGAGGAGGAGAAAATTGGGATAGAACAGAGCATAATTAAGGAGAACTAAAGAAAAAATAAAAGGGTCAATATTTTAATTTTAGTAGAGCGGGTCAATAAATAGATAAATAGTTTGCTCTTACAATTTTTGTTAGAAACAAGAATTCCATATCAATAAATTTTAATGAAAAATAATGGGAAAATGCACAAATACTTCCTTCATTTATGCCCAAAATTTTAGAGACACACTTATACTATATTAAGGTTCTATTACCCTCCTAAACTTATTTTATAAGTAATTTTCTATCCCTTTTCGACTTACGTGGCACTAGCTTGATAAAAAAATCAACCAACGTTGGGCCCACAATATAGTGCCATGTAGGTCGAAATGGGGTAGATAATTATTAATAAAATAAGTTCAGGAGGATAATAGGACCTTAGTATAGTATAAGTGTGTCTCTGAGATTTTGGGTATAGGTTGAGGGGTACTTGTGCATTATCCTAAAAATAATTATAAATAAGTTGATTGACTTTCTATGCAAAGAACTCGTGATTGAGTCAGCAGCGGAGCTATGACTTGGCAAGGTTGGTCAGATGACCAACCTTCATCGGAAATTTTTTTCCGAATATATATACTAAATATCAATTTTTTTTTAGATATATATATTAACAGTTGAATAACCTTGACACAATAAAAATTGTCAGCCTAGTGGTTAAGGGTGTACAAAAATATCATAGCGTCTCGGGTTTGAGCCTCACAGTGGTGATTTTTTGAAATTTTTTCATAATTCCATTTTTTTCTCTTAGAAAAGGCAAAACTTAGCCCTGGTTTGATTCCAGGCTTAAACATTTCACTTTTTTTTTTTGTATTTATTCCGTTTTTCTCTTGAGAAAAAGTACAAAAACTACTATTTTTAAGTTAAGAAAATAAAAGGTCTATTTTTTACTTTTCTTATTTATTTTTAAAAAATAGATTTATAGTTGTCATTTCCTTTTAGTTTGTTGTCTTCTTCTTTTCCCAAAAACTCTTTGTAACTTTACTCTTTACCTTTCTCTCTTTTTAACTTTCATCAGGGGCGGAGCTAAAACCTATTAAGGGTGGTCAGATGAACACATAGTCAAGTGGTTGGTGTAGTCATTTATCTCATGGAGGTCCATCAAGCATTAGCTCCCGGTGCGACTTAATCTCCGCTAGCTTTTTTAAAAAAATACAAATCTTTTTTAAACAAAAAAACACACAATTTTTTTGTGAACCTATTAAAAAATCTCTTTTTAAACAAAAAAACACAGAAATTTTTGTGCATCTATTCATCGGTAAAAATAATGTTTTGTGTACATACTCTGCTAAAAAAATTTATCAAACTTTTAAAAGGTTGAACACCTTTGTCGAAATTTTTAGCTCCACCACTGAATTTAGTGACTTTTGAGTTGAAATCAAATTTGAGTAAATTTTTCTGAAAAAAATTGATGGTTAAGTGAGTATGAAAGATATTAACCATTAACCTAACACCACAATAAGTTATAATAGGAATAGGTAAGTACCATATCCATTCAACAAGTTGTACAAGTGATTTTTTTAAGATAAAAATTATTATATTAAGACTAGTTCTGATAATTTAAGCCCACATTTAGCTGATTTGTCTAAATAGCTCATCAAATATGGGTTGAAAGAGTGATTTTAAATGTGCAATATTTTGGCTTATACCCATATTTTACTAATTAGAATATGGATATTTTATGAATAATCTACGAGTCATATATGAGTATTGCAAGTTTTCTTTGAATTTTCAAAAAACAGTCTGTTGCCAAGTTTTAGAAGCAATTTTTCAAATTTATATATATGGTCCCTATTAATATTCCATCCCTCGATCCCCCTCCCCCTCCACCCCCGTTATCAGCCCCCTCACCTCCCAAAAGAATAATTTTAAGTTTGTTTTTAGAAAATGTTTTCAACTCCAAAATTTTATTTTTTTCATCCCTACCATTGTCCTCCCCCTACTATCCGCCCCCCCTCCAAAATATTAAGTTTGTTTTAAAAAAATATTTTTAACTTCAAATATATATTTTTCACCCGACCTTGGACACCCTCCCCCCAACCAGCCTCCCAAAATATTAAGTTTATTTTTATAAAATATTTTAACTTCAAATATTTATTTTTTCACCCTACACTTGACCTCTCCGCCTTCCTCCCTCCCCAACCCCGAAAAAAAATTAAATTTTATATTTATTTTTGTAATACAATAAAATTAATGAATACTTTTAAACATATTTCATCTACAAAAAAGACTAAAATATTTTCTCCACGTTGAATTTTAAATAGAGTAGTAATATGGGTAAACTAGTATTTTAGTCAATCCGTTTTTACCCATATCAAATATGCATTCATTTTATTTTCAACCGGCCCAAATTTGACCCAACCTGCCCATTTGTCACCACTAATTTAGACTAGCACCACAATTAGATAGAATATGTATATAACAGCCATATCCGAACAACAAGTTGTACAAGTAAAAATTAAAAAAATAAATATTATATATAGACTAACGCCACAATAGGTAACAACAAGTTGTATAAGTAAAAATCAAAATAAATATTACATTTAAATAGAATTCGATAATACGATACAATATGTAACAACAATTAGTTGTACAAGTAAAAATCAAAAAACAAATATTTTAGCTAAGCAAACATCACAATATGATCCAATAGGTAACAACCATATCCAAACAACAAGTTTTGTAAAAAAAAATCAAAACAAATAATACCAAATGCAGTACAAGGAGGGAAGAGAACTCCTTATGTGATAGATCAGCTGCTGCTTGGTACTAGCCCGGGAATCCTGTTATTTCTTGAAGCAAAGATTCCTCTCTGCCATTTTAGACCTTGTAAAAGTGAAATGACGAAACTCAGTAGAGAGTATATGTAGACCTTGTGGAAGTAGAGAAGTTGTATCTGAACAAGCCATAGTAATGAAAAGGCAAAAAATGACAAGTCATAGGAAAACAGTATAGAGCATTCAGGCTATATATATAACATCATACAAGTATAAAACCTAACTACTGAATTCTGACAGATAGATATATTTACCTGTATTGAAGGCAGTAACTTTAAGTTTGTTCCTCCCCAAAACCTCCTCGTGTTCAACCTGCACATTCTTAGCAAAATCCACCAAGGAAGGGTTACAATAGTGTAACTCAATCAGCTCCAGTTTCTTGCTATCAGCAAATCCTTGAGGAATCTCTTCTAAGAATTTAAAATTTGTGATTATTAAGCGCTCAAGGCTGGGGAAATGATCATGAGAGCCCGTGGTGTTTTCCCATTCTGTAAGGGGGAGATTATCAAGGAGCAAGAACCTCAACTTGGGGAACCCAACCTGGTCTGTTGCTTTCCACTCGTTGCCAATTAAGGATTTACTCTTCAGTTTGAGTACCTCAAGTTCGGGCAACTTGCTGATAATGGATATGCATTCCCACGGTAGATATGTACATCTAAGTTTCAACTCCTTGAGTTTTTGTGGAAAAGAATCTGGACTTGTAAGACTAAAAAAACTGGTTGTATTCTTCTGAAATATAAAATCGATATTTTCAATACTTACTGACTCGAGATGTTGCAAATATTTAAGATTATCTATCCATTTAACATCTGTAGGAAATTCCTCCCTCGTTCCACGAATGACCAATTTTTTCACTTTCTTAATCCCTTCAAATATTTCCTTTGTACAACAGCAAGGACTCAAACCAGAAACACTCTGCAAGTTTCCGAGAACCTTATTATCTCCAGGCGAACATAGATGAATGCCTTTTGCATAAAGATGCCTTAATTGTGTCATTTGCCAAATATCTTCTGGAAAAGTGAAGACTTTACGCTTACGAGGATTCATAACAAAAGATTTACCTAAAATGAGAGCGTGCAGATTCCAAAGATTGGTAATTGGGAGATCCACAAAATCTAAATACGAAGTCCCGACAGCCAAATACCTTAAACAAACAAGGTCTCTAGTAACTTCATTGAGCCCTATGATGTTATGTACCTCCAAATCCAATACCCTTAGTAGTTTGAAATGAAAAACTTTTGGGTCAAAAATAACAACATCATATAGCATGTAAAAAGAGGGTATTTCAATAGGAGTATACCGTCTGTAGTTACTAAAATCAATCATTGATTGAACTGACATCCACCTACAACCTTGACGGAATTTGGTGTGTACTTGAGAAATAGTGGTGGAATCTGAACTACAAACACACAAAAGATTCTCGCTTTCAGATTCCTTGGAGCAAAAATCATGAAAAACATCATGAATCCTACATGTCTTAATTTTCCCATCCCAACTTAGCTTGTCAACAATAACTACACTTTTCCCAATAAGATCATGTAAAACACGATCAGCTGCTTGTTCGAATTCCTCAACCCCATTTGGATATACGAGTCCTTCTGCAATCCATAATCTGGTTAACTTCTTCACAGGAATGCCATGGGATTTTGGGAAAACTCCGAAATGCAAAAAGCAAGCTTTCATAAGAGAAGGAAGATTATTGTAGCTCAGAGCAACAACTTGTAAGCATTGTTTGTAAGCATCATCATTTACTAATGAGCTTACACTTTCAGCTACTTCCATCCACTCATACAGTTTACTCTTGCTACGGAGTATACCAGCAACCGCAGTTATCATTAGCGGCAATCCTTTGCAATTTGTTATAACTTTTTCTCCAACCTTTTTGAATTTACCAATATCTGACCGTCGAATAGTGTTATTTTTCCCAAATGCCCTATGGTAAAACAGATTTCGACTTTCATCTTGCGTCAGAGGACGCATCAGTACCAAACCATCTTTAGCAGCATACGCACCAACCTTTTTGTCTCGAGAAGTCAACAAAATTCGACTTTTGTCACCACAATCTGGAAACCAATGTCTAATGTTATCCCAATCACTATTGCTCCATATGTCATCCACAACAATCAAATACCTTTTTCCCTGCAAAACTTGCTTTAGATGAGCAGCTAGTTGTCCATTATCCATTCCATCAAAATCTTTGTCTTTCATTTCAATAACATCACGAAGGAGGCGTAGGAGCAACTCTCTTAAATCATAGTTTTCAGACACAGTAATCCAACCACGAATAGGAAAGTCCTCCTTGTTAATATCGAATAATGTAGTTTTGGCAAAAGTTGTCTTACCTATGCCCGCCATCCCCACAACAGAAACCACTTGTAGTTTTTTTGATCCATAGGTAAGTCTTGCAACCATATTTTTTCTTTCTTCATTGTAACCTTCCATAAAGTTCTCATGGATTGAATCATCTAATCGTGGAGAAACAGATTTTTTTGGACAACTAATATTGTTGACAGAATGAGTTACCTGTATAACATGTTGACAAACATAATCAAGCTTCGCACCACAACATTCATCATTCAGCCCAACAATAATAAGTTGATTCATTAGTGATTCAACTTCATATTCTGCATAAACTGCAACATCTTTGATTCTTCTTAGCAAATCCTTGCTAATAATTGCTTCTCCGACATCACATTTGCCAAGTAGACTGTCAAACAACTCATACAGTGATTTCAATTTTGCGGTCCAACCATATTCTCTATGGTTGGACCGTAAAACCTTCTCTATGGTTCCCAACACAGAAGTTAGTGCACCGTAAGTAGCCGCCATCTAACCCTAAATATCATCAAAAGTATTAGAAATTCTGTAACTATCCGCTAGGTCGTTTTGAAAATTACAACTATTTCACTTCCAAAATTCTCTTTTAACATAGAAAAATGTCTTCCTTCCATCTATTGCTTCAAAATTGCCCTTAACCTATTATATTATTAAGTGAAAATGGTCAAATATGCCCCTAAACTATTTGAAAAGGTCTAGATATACCCTTCCTATTTTCATATAAATGTCATGTGATAAGGTTAAAATGATATGACAAATCCATGTGACATTTAAAGAAATAAAAAATGAGCTGGATATGTCCAATATACGTACTAACGTCCACAAGGGCATATTTGAGCCAAAATTTTGGACGGCGAGAGCATTAGGAAACCAAACTTTAAACGGAGGATATATCTAGACCTTTTCGAATAGTTTAGGGGCATATTTGACCCTATTTCCTATTATAAAAACAACATTTTTATCCTATAGATGGAACAAAGACATTTTCAAATAATTTCTTGTGAATTGTGAATAAATCTTTAAATATAATACCCAACTTCATTTAAATTTATTAATTGTAAGTATTACCAACTATATTATTTTACTACTATCAAATGGTAGATTAATAAATCACATGGGAGGATTGGATCTCACTTTTACAACAATATAATATACTATATACTCTACACCTAAGTATTATCAATTTTTGCCCGACCAGTCAAATTCACTACATGTTATTTACCATTCATAAAATAAAATAATAAATATATAAAAGTTGATATCTAACATGCTGAAATGTTCTTAAAAAAATTGTTAAAGAAAGAGGAATCTCACTCACTAGATATTTTGTTTAATTAATTATCATAATTAATATAATTAATTATAAATATCTAATGTAAATAATATGCAAGTCTTATCCTTCTATATTATTTTAGTATTATCAAATCGTAATTAATTAGTGACATGGAGGATTGGAATTTGGATCTCACTTTCACAACAATATAATATACTTATACATTTTCCCAAATTAAAACAGTTTTTGATTTTTACAAAATCATTTTTCACACGTAGTCAATTATAATTCGATCGTGTTACTATTTAAATTATTCTTTTTTTTTAAAAAAAACTCAAATATATCATCGAGCTTTGTGAAAATACTTATTTATGTCATCTATAAAAAGTTTCACTCACCTATAATGGATTAGTCCTTCTTCAAACGAAAATTAATGGCATAGATAAGGTACACTTTTTATAATTAAAATTTAAACATGTTTTAACAAATAAATAATAAATATTAATAAATTTTAATTAAAAATTTGATTACCTTTTATAAATTCAATCATGGATAAAAGCTTCAATTGAATACCTAAAATAAATTGCTTATAGACAATAAACAAGATTTCATTGTATTGTTAAAAAAATGAAAAGAATAATGTGACCTCACATCTCATTAGGAGAGATGAATATATTTTGAGAAAAATAGTAAAAGTGTGGTGATATTGTTTAAATAAAAGAAAGTTACTCTCTTCGGTTTACAAAGAATGACCTACTTAATTTGGTGCGGAGTTTAAGAGTATAAAGAAGACTTCTGTATTTTGTGGTCCTAAATTAAAGTTAAGCTAAATGTACAACATTGTCATTTGTTCTTGTAGCCTTAAACATGTCACATGGAAAGCTGATTTTAAAATGTTAAAAAAAAAGAGACCATTCTTTTTTAAACAGACTAAAAAAGAAAAAAAAGTCATTCTTTTTTAAACTGAGGGAGTATGTTATAGGACAAATTTTTTAAACATGGATGGCAATCTAAGGAATTTATGCTATTTTAAAGTTATTTTTAATAAGTTAAGGGTATTTTTTGCACTTTTTTCCTTTTACTAATTACATTAATTTTTAAGTGTGTCAATCCAAATATGGACAAGTAAACAACGACAAACAAAATTTAAAAAAATTAAATTGCCCGTTCAAATTAAACTTCAACTTCATATCATGTATTAATTTGATTTCAAATGAGACTTTATAACTCAAGTTAGAATTCGATTCCCTACCTTATAATCCTCTCTTTCGTTTCCCCTTCTCATAACCCTAATTCAAAAACCAAACAAACTTCTGAAATCATAGTTTGAAAGAACTTACCAGAATAAACTTTCACCTTGCTAACGAGAATGAGATTGACCTTCGAAATGGTGGATCCTTCTTCTTCTTTCCTTCTGTTAAAGAATTGTAAATGAAGCAATTTTGCAGAAGGTTGACTCTTAAAATGAAAGACAAGTCTACATATGTTAAGATTGAAAACACACACATATATATAATTCACAACATATTAACAATTCATAAAATAAAATAATAAATATATAAAAGTTAATATTTTATATGCTGAAGTTTCCTAGAACTTATCTCACTCGCAGTTTGTAATTTAAATAGAGTAGTTTTATTTTCCTTTTCTGATTTCCTACTCAATGTTTAATAACATGTATTAAAAATTCGATTATTATGAATTTGTGTGTTGTAGAGTTTATTTTTGAGGAAGACGCTTTTAATTAAATAATTCTTTTTTCATATTTATTAAGAGCTTCAATCTAAGACTTCTGTTAAAGACGGAGGAATCTCGCTCATTCTACCACAATTTATGTTGATAATTTAATATTCAATTATTTTAATTTGTTGTCTTATTCTTTTTCTTAAAATCCATTCAAAAAAATAATTGTTCTTTTTTTTTGACAGTTTTTAAATTCTAGTTTTCATGTGATAGGTTTAATATCACGAGATTAAAAAAAAGTTATTTCATAAATGTAAAATTAGATCCTTTATTATTGATCTTGAGTTCGACTTCAATCAGAAAAAAAATTACAAAACACAAGTTATAGTTATAAGACATAATTTATTCATATGAATTTATGTTGATTGATACTAAATTCTCTAAACTTTGATCGGACAAGAAAAAAGGAAAGAGATGCAAGGTACAAATAGTTATAAGTTTATCAAATAGTTAATGAGGAAATAAATATATTTTTGACAAGTTTGTTGGTCAGAAAATTAAGAATAAAGTTAAAAATAATGAAGACAAAAGATAAATAGTGATATTTTTTTGATGAAATATGTCATCTCATTTTATTATCCAAATTTAATTATTATACTATGTAGATGATTGTGTAATCATGGGAACATTATTGAGTTTCGTCCATATAACTTGAATTAAATTTAAAATTAGTTTGGTCAGATAATTTATTTTGACTATACATTTACAAATAAGTGACTAATCTAATGCCAACTTGTAGGATTAATTAATTTAGGACATGTGAGCTAGGGAAGACTTTTGAAGAACTTATCTCTATTTGGGTGTTCACATTCAAAATCAATTATCACGTTATAATAAAAAAATACAAAATAATTCAATAATTATTTAATGAGAAAAAAATATAAAATAATTTTTTATTTTTAGTTAAGATTCAAAGTTATTCTTGATTTTCATATGAAACAATATTAGTCCCTCAATTTGCAATATAGGTGCATTTTTAGTCATCTTCCAAACTTCTACTTTTTAAAAAAAAAATGATTTTATCCAAAACTTTATGAATAGATTGCTCAATCGTCTTTTTATATATTAAAAAGAATTAGTAACCCTATGTGACAAAAGATGAGCAAAGAACAGTTTATTTAATTTGTTACGTAGAAATATTATTGCAGCTAAACTAAATCAATTTTTCCTTGTCAAACTAAATCAATATTTGTTATTTATTGACATATAACGTTGTAAGAAAAGAAGTTCATCATGTTAATTTCACGTACAATATTCAACAATAAATTGATATAGTTCAAGAATCAAAGGTAGGTTGTTAGTTCGCAATAATATTTCAACTGAACCAAAACAATGTGTTCTTCTAACTTTTTCTCACATAGAGTTAGTATTTCGACTCAAAATTGTGTACAAAATTAATACTAAAAAATACGCAAAAGTGTAGGAAAGGACCAAAAGTGCAATAATATTGCAAACATGAGGATTAGTGCCCCATGTAATAATACAAAATGATTTTTATTCTTAACCTAAAGATAAGAAGCTATTTTGGCTTTTTCCCATTATTTAACCATAGTAATATAATTATTGTTATTATATTTAGCGATAATAATATAATATGATTAAGTATAATCTATAATGTATATAAATAGCGCTAAAGGTTCTAATGAATCTAGTGCAATGATATTAACTTAATTGCCGCCAGGATCGTCCCAACAAGTTTGAAGGCTTAAACCCAAACTTCATAGCGAGGTCTTATTGTTTTTTAGTTGTCATATATAAATTGAATAACTATAGCGTACTCAATATAATCTATAGCATACTCAATATAATCATACAAGTGAATTCTCGAAAAGATAGGATGTATGCAAATCGTATGAAGTAAGAATGTAAACAATGAAAAAAGAATAATATAAAGTTAGAATAATAAAACGTGACTCGAGAATTTGAAAGGCTTACATAATGACATTGAAATAATTGTTCTCAATTTAATAAGTTGATATAATTAATTATATTAAAATTGTATGATTTATTGCAGTGCTTGAAATTTAAAGAATATACCAAAAAATAAATTTGATCTATTTATAAACACATAACAATAGATTTTGCATAATGCAAATGATTTTATCTTTTGGTAGACTTCAAAATATTCAATAATGAGAGGGTAAAAATAGAAAGGGAGATATAAGAATAATAACGTGGGTTCATGATACTTGTCAACATATAAACAAGTCAATAAAATAGGTAGCCACGTAAAAAAGGATACTAAAGTTAACTAAGCACTATTATATTTCTCAATTATTGCAATGACCTCCACATTAAATAAAGTAAAACAATTGGTATTTTATATATATCGGGGGCATAAATTATTAGGGATTCAAGTGATCACTTTAGTGGCCTTAATGGTCGAGATGACCCTAACTGCCGCTAAATAATTTTGTGGTAATAAATATTAGAGAACTTGTATGAATCTCACTAATTTAGAAAGTAATTACTTACATAACACTAGTTTGCAATATTACTTATCTTGCCAAATTTTTGTGCCTTTGGTTTCCAGATACATGTATCTCAAATACATGTGGTCAAATTTAGGTGTAATTAGTTCTAGATACATTATCCAAGTGGATTCACACATATCTGGAATACATAGCAAATCTTGCTCTCCTCTCTCGCCTCCCTCCCATCTCGCTCATCATTCTCCCATCTCTTTCAACTTTTATTGCACTAAATATCTCTTTTATTATGTTCCACAAGTTATCTTTATTATATTCTTTACGCTAAATCAATATATGCATATATTGAATACATGTGTTCTCTCATTTTATTTAACCATGGTTAATTATAATTGCATATTTTATCTCATACAAATTTTGTTACACTCTTATATAAAAGTCATTAAGGTCAACTATATGTAGGTCAACTAGATTAATTAAACATGGAAGCGTTGGATATCACTTTCATGACAACTCATCATTTTTAAGTTCATATAAATTTTGACACCCTATTTTTGTTGGTATATTAATTATTAAGGGCTCGTGATAAATACTTTGGAATTTAAATTTAGAATTAATTTATATTGTGTCTGATTAAGGTTATAAATTTACTTCAGAGTAAAATTGTGTTGTTAACCAAATATTATAATTTAATTATGAATCTCATTTTATCTCATCAAACTTTTGATTATCTTACTTTGGTGAAATAAATTTATCTTAGAATCAGAATTTCAACATATTTTGATCGATAAATGGTTCAAATAATAGATTGAATGCTCTTTTGGAAGTTGTTAGAAATATTTTTGCTTAATTATATCTATGATCTTGTAGACATGTATACATTTATTGAGTTTGGTCCATATAAATTTCGATTAATTTTTTAATTATTCTGGTCACTTACTTGGTTTTGACTTTATAATTTTTTTTTTGAAAAAAAATAGAGTAGATCAAATAATTGTGTAGCATTTTTCTTTATTGCAAACACATATTAATATATTCATTACATCTAAGCATGACGTGATTTGACTATGTAAGCAATGATGTGTATTTATTTTTGAAAAATAAAAAATTTTCTTATTCATATTTTAAAATTATTGGCAAGTAAGTAAAAGAATATTGTTGTAAATACATTTATATAAGCATAATTTTAGGCTAACTAGTTTGATATCAAACGTGGAATTCCAGTAATTCTAATTGTTCAAACATACTTTTCATCTAATGATGCTTTGTTGTTTTTGGTATCTATCATTTTTCTTAGATTATAATGACAGGATAATAACATTTTGATTGTAAGGAAGCATCTAAATTGTTTTCTTCCCTTTTTCACCAATCTAATGGATAAAAAAAGAACCATTAAGCTGCTGATTTGATTACTTTTTCATTGCAAAGAACAAATAATTATATAAGTTAATTGATTTTCTGTGCAAACTGTTGAAGAAGAAAGAAGCTGACGATTGGAACATGTCAAAGGAACAGGTCCAACGGAGATGAGTGACGTGTTTGCAACACTGCTGAAGAATTGGAGTCACACTAGAATTAGACCACCTATGTTGATTAGGATTACATCTTGTCTAGAATTATAGTATGATTAGTATTACGATTAAAATTACTATTAGAATTATAGTACAATTAGAATTTATATTATTTATAATTGCAATATTAGTATTATAATAGTAATCGGTATTATGTAGGACTCTACTCTACAATTCTCTCCTATATAAGGAGGATGTACTTAACATTATTATTCATCAACATAGAATATTGATCAATATATCAATACATCAATACAATCCTTGATTTCTCATATAATAGAAGTGAGATTTCTAATTATGAATTTTTACATGGTATCAGAGCTTAAAAATCTTCTGCTCTCTGAGTATTGATAAAAAAAAACTTAAAAAACTACACGTTGTTATGACCACTTTTACCAAAACCATGTAACCTCTTCACTTCACCAGATAATTATCGCTTGCTCCATTAAATCTAAGCCATTAAACTACCTTATAAAGAGGACACACAATCCCAATTGATTCATATCACAGAGAATGAACCAAGTAAAAGTAGTTGTTTCACTGGACAGACTGCTAGGGAAATTGTAGCGGCTAAGAAGGATGCAAAAACTAGTGACACTATTGATAATTGGAAAAAGAAAGACGTATTTCTAAGGAGTTGGATATCAAACACCTCGTCTGAAGAAAGCATGTACCTAATTGTGGGTTGCTCAATTGCCAAGGAGATGTGAGAATGATTAAAAGAAAATTATATTCAAGCAACAAAAATAATTAATTTTGCTAGAGGTT